CCGGAGGGTGGCAGCGGCAGCGGCAGGGTTCGTGGCGTGGGAAGCGAAGCGCTTTCCTGAAGCCTTCACGCGGTGGGAGAGCGTAGCCGCGAAGCGCTGGGGAGCCGTTGCTGTGGAGCAGCGGTGTCTCGGCCCTGGCGGATCCCCGAGCGCTGCAGTTACTCGCACGCAAAACCTGAGTTACCAGCAGAGATGAGTAATGCTCCTAAAGTGAGGTGCCTGACCTAATGATCTTTCCGTTGGAAGGCGTAACGCATAGTGCAGCTTCTCTGTCTTGGGGGGTATGTGGGCTTCGTTTACTCAGGAGCAAAGGAGGTATATTTTTGTCAGTTACGTGCTTCACCTTGCCCTTCCAAGGCGTGATGTCTGTACAGTCTCGCATCTTGTGACAGGACAAGGGGTAATGGTTTTACACTGAAGCGGGGCAGGTTTAGACTGGATATAAGGAAGAAATTCTTTACAATGCGGGTGGTGGAACGCTGGAAGGGGTTGCCCAGGGAGGTGGTGGAGGCCCCATCCCTGGAAGCATTCAAGGCCAGGTTGGACGGGGCTCTGAGCAACCTGATCCAGTTAGCGGTGTCCCTGCTCACTGCAGGGCGGGAGTGGGCTAGATGGCCTCTAGGGGTCCCTTCCAACCCCAAACCATTCTGTGATTCTATGACCAGGTAAAGTTCATTTAGCTTGTCACTGCTGTCATAGGCCTCTACCCTCTCAAGAGGTTCCAGTTGCCTCTTGCTCTGATGCCCGATTTCCTTGTGTGACTTCATGGTTCAGGGAGCTTTTGTGGCTAAAAATTAATTTTGTTTGTGGCGTGGTTAGGCTTCAGCCAGTTCACTGTGCAATTATACAAGTGTCAGTGTGAAGTAAAGGGGGAGGACTGAGATGCAGGGGGCGTGGGAGCACAGCAATCCTGATATACTCCTGATTAAGCCAACGTACAGGGTAATGCGTTGGGTGTCTATTCCTTCACCTTTGTCCTCAATTTTTTGGTTTCCTGATTGGCTTTGTCTGTAACTCAGTAATCTTAACCAATATTAAGACTGTTCTAAATTCCTTATCAATAGAAAAGATGTGCCATTAATAATATTCCTCAGTCAAAAGGTGCAGTGTGAGCTCAAATCTTACTGAACATCAGAGGCCTCTTCATGAGACTTGTTTTCCCTTGAGTTTTGATCTTCTTAGCATCTCCATAATCCAAGTATGAGACCTAAAGCTATGGGAAATCTGGTTTTCTTAATTCTGCTTCTCACCATAGTAATTGGTTTGTATTTGCTCAATGTACAATCCCATTGTCTTAATCTGTTGCAAATTTCAGTCATGCAGATTCTGACTACAGCATTCTAAATTAACTATTGTTCCAGTGTTCAGAGACTGTTGATAAGCATTTTATCTCTGTCAAAATATTCTGGTGTCTCTGATCTGTGGCAACCTATCTAGATTAAGGACAAAATTATCAGAAGTATACTAAATTCAAGGATGCAACTTGAGGTGGGTGGTACCCAATTTTTCTGAGTGCAGTATTTAAGCATCTTTATAAATATAGTTCCTTTTACATGTAGCTTCCATGGCTGGGTGGCTGCATCTGGGAGTATTGAGATCATGGTTGCAAAAATACAGAGATGTGTCTAAGTGAACTCTTGGAAAATGAAGAAAAAACACTGGATTTGTGTGAAAAGTTTGATTTAGTTTTGGTGATTTTGCTGACAGCCCCCAGGAACTCTGTAGTAGAGACTGGGATAAGTTTTAGTACTACTCGGTGCTTTCAGCGCTCTCATCTGCCTCCATTTACCATTCCATACCTTGTGGTTTACCTACATTTCTGTTTCCGCCATGAGCAAGAGCATTCATTGGGTCATGTCTGACTCAGTGCAGGTCCTTCCTTATCCCGCTGGCTTATGTGGTGTATTTAATTAGTAACTTGGGGAAAGAAAAGTAGTTTGTCAGCTTGTCTTCAGCCTTCAGCTGATGCATCAGATCTGGTTGTATTTCTGTGCTGATGGCTTTGATTGTCACAGTATGCAGAAATGCACTTAAAACACTCAGTTACATCTGCAATGAGATTGAGTTAATATGCAAATGATTACTTGAAGCTGGGGTTGGATGATACTATCCCTGAAAGGCATCGTGACAGTGGTGTCTCTGTGCTCTCCCTTGTGTTAGTTCCCTTTTTTGTGTATGTTAGTATAAGTGTCAGGCCATAAATAGAGCAGGATCTAGTTGTGGTCCAAGTTAATGCTAGCTGGCTCTCCTATTGTGACTTATTTTAAACTAAGGTAAGTTCCTTGATATATCTGGTATTTATTTGGGTAGGGTTGATTTGCTTTGGTATGCAATTCGTAATTGCTGTAAGAGTTTTTTGGCTTTTATGTTTGTCTTTCCTTTTTAACTCTTGCTGTGAAAGAGCTCATGTTTGGTTTGGGGTTTTTGTGGGGTTTTTTTATTTGCTTGTTTTTAGTATTTCTTGATGTTTAATATCAACATCTTTCCATCTCTCAATTATTTTGATGGTCCCATCTGTGTCCCATCCCCATCCTGTGTCGTCTGTGTCGTGTCTCCCCCTCCCCTGAGTTTTCTTTATGTTGCAATTTGGTTCTATTAATCTTTCTTTTTATGTTTCACATCTGTTTTCAGCTCTTTTCACCAAAGCCTATACTACTGTACTATTTGGGGATAGGTGACCAAGCAGTAGTAAAAGGATAAGCAGTCATTTGATTGCTGGAGTGTGTTGATCAATTGACATTGTTTTTAAAGAGAGAAGATTTTCTGTCATATTTGAAAGCCATATTTACTTTTAAATATATTTCTCTATTGGTTATTGGACATAAATTCTTTATGATGCTTGGTTTTACTTTGCTGCATAAAAAGCTGTAACAATATAGTAATGTAACTTCTGATGCAGGGTTAGCCACACAGTTGGACATTTTTGCATATTAATAATTATGAAAGCTGGGCTCCAGTTTAAGTGCTTTTAACTTTCTACAAATACCTGCTACCTGATGATTTTGTGCAGAAGCAAAGAAGAGCTCCTGGTGAAAGAATTCTAAATGGTGAACATGAACAGCTTTTAAGTTTAAATAGAACACCTCCGATCTTGGCTTTCTGATTTGGTCGTTTCACAGCACTGCTCTGTCTGCAACTATCTTTCTGTACAATGCGTTTATGAACCTCTGCCTTATATTACAGCCTATCCTACTGCCTTACTGAAAACAATAAGTCATAGTCTATACCATATAACCTAGAGCATTCAATGAGTCTGTGAAGGCAATCAGTTTGGTGATGTCTTCTAATTCTAGATGACTGTCACTTCAGTTTTCAAACAGAAATTCAGAGCTCTCTTAAACTGGTAACTTGTTCCAGTGATTGGATAAACCAGCCTATTTAGTAAGTCTTACTAGTCTTTCACTTCACAGTAAAAGCCTTATTTGAAATATGTAAACCTAAAATATTTTCTTAATCGCACTTCTTAAATTTATAATTTCCTTTCAAGACTTACTGGAAATGTCTAAATATCTATGTCATGATATTTTGTGTCGGTGGAGTTAAATAATGTAAGGAAGTCATTGGTGCAAGAAGTGCAGTTGCATCTTCATTCAGGTCACAAGTAAAAAACATCTTGATGGCTTTTTTTTTTTTTTTTTTTTTTTTTTTTTTTTTCTCCCGGCCTAAAATAGTATGTGTGCAGTTGCATCTTCATTCAGGTCACAAGTAAAAAACATCTTGATGGCTTTTTTTTTTTTTTTTTTTTTTTTTTTTTTTTTTTTCCCCAGGAGCACAAATTAATCACAGACTCTGGCAGTTTGTGGTTTCTACTTGAGAGAGACAAATATGTATTTCATATTGTTTGGTGCTGTATATATGGTGTTACTCTGTATTGTTAGCACTTTCAAGAAGCATCAGAAATACTTAGAATTGCTTACAGGACTGAGTTGCAGTTTCTTGAAGATTATGAGTAAATAGCTGGAATTCTTTTGTCACTAGTTTTTGAAGGTGCGAAGGTGGTAGTTGAATGAACAAAGCTGTCCTCACATGTAAGAATGACTACAGTGGTGTCATTAAGAGTTGTTTTTGTCTTCCCTTGCCCTGAATAGGATTTGTGTAGGACCATAAGATGAGAAAAACTACTACCCCCCTTATTTTTTTAAAAACTAGCTAATACTTGTTGACAGGTCTAAACAAAATATTTTTGAGCACAGACATTCTCTTGATGATGAATGTAGTCAATCTACAGCAAAGAGATTTAAATTTGTCCACTGACTTCAGAGGCAAGGCAACTAGAATACATCCGGAAAGGGAAGAAGTGCTTGGTATAAAGCAGGTGGGTCTACATTTCTTGAAGGAGCTGTCCTTATTGTTGCAGTGACCAGTCGTGTTGATAAACCTTCGTGGAAATGGGTTGTGTATTCAAATCTCAGAATTTCATGACTGTCCATGTAAGAGTGCCTTTCTGAAGAGGGATGTATTTCTTCTCCCTGTACGAGAGCAGCCATGTTTAGTCATGGGTGATGGAAGTTAAAAGCCCTGGGGATGAGGAGGATCCTGACCACCATCTTAGAGGTTTAAAGTTTTGAGAGACTAGTGTTTGTTACTACATTGTTCCTACATCATTGTAGAAATGTGTTGTAATTAATGAGGTGGTTTTTTTTTTTTTTTTGAAGTGAGGTGTTTTCCCTTTCTGTATTTTCCTGTTTGGTTTATGTTTATGCTCCAGCTGTGAGTTGCTGTAGCTACAGACTGTGGAAACACTTTATGCTCAGAGTCTACTGTACTGTTGAAATTCTGATTTTGAAACTTATTTAAGGGAGGGTGGTGGAGGGTATGGAAGATGGAGTTTTGCTTGCAGTATCAGCAAGTTGTAGAAAGTCTTCTGACTTCTGATCATACTGGCCTTCCTCTAGCCCAGATGGAGCTGCTTTGTCTTTGCTACATGCTGGTTCCGCAGAATTTTCCCTCTTCTATACCCCTCTTTGAAGGTATTCTGTGTTGTTCCATCTGCTGTGGATTTGAGTGACGTAGTTGCTGGTCAGGTAAGCTTGATTTGCCAGCCTTATTTCCCATGGGCCAAATGAGATTTGTGGCAAAGATCATGAATAGACAGGTAAATTCTGTGCACTGTAAGTTTGCACAGGTAATGCACAACTTGTGTCGCTTTCCCTAGTTAGGAGTAGAAAGACGATTGCAGGGCATTTGCCAGGCCATACAGTAACCTGGCATACTGGTTGGGGGAACTGGCAGAGAGGATTCTGTTCCCACCTGCTTCGTTGCAGATGCACTTTACTGACTCTCAGTTAACTCTCTCCCAAAGTAGGTAGAATACTAAATGATTGTCAACAAAAAAAACTTGAGCCTGTGAGGCAGTTAAATAATTCAGCCTATGCAAATAACTCATGTTAGCCTGTAGTGAGCTTCAGTCAGTGAACATGACTGAAGTGTTTTGCTAAAGACTGCACCTACGTTAAGTTCATGAGTAGCCCTGTTGTCTACCTCTATACAGCTAATTAGAACTGGCCAAGAACTGTTCTCTGACTTTGAGCCTAAGCAGCATATCCCAGCTCATGTCTACTTATCTAAACTCCTTTTTTCAGGGCAGCTATACCCCAACTAGCTTTTTGGCCTCATTTACTACCATAAAATAGCTATTGACTGCATTGGCAGTTGATGGGTGTTTCTGAACAGACCCTCGATTTGGTGAAGTATTTCCTAATCTGATGACCACCAAATCTTCCTGGATTAGATGGGAGTACTGGCCAGAGGTAAGACTTCATGACCTGTGGAATTCAGCTTCTTTCCCACATTTTGGTCTCTTAAGAAATTGGAACAGAGGGAAGAGAACAGGATTCGGAGTGAATTGTTTGTGTAAGAGTAAAGAACCAGACCACTGTTAGACTTGTGCAGCTCTGATTCATTCCTGGAGCTCTGTCCATCCTGCGCACTGAACAGAGTAGAGATCCTGTGGAAAATATGGCATGTGTTCATATAGTTGGTGTGTTGTTATGCATGTGTGCCAGCTGAATTTAAGTTTTATTTCCTAACTTTAGTGGGTCACAGTATGATTCTTTCTGTTAATTTGTTTCATTAAGAATAAATTCCACTCCCTCCCCTCCCAAAAACACCAGATCTAGCTATAATAGCTATAATACAGTTATTCTGAAACTAGGACATTTTTTTCTTGATGTGGTATGTTTAATTGGAAAAAAAATTGGTACTGGAGATTTGCCGTTCAGTGTTTCTGCACAGCATCTCATTGGGAGCCAATGTTTGGTTTGATTGGAAGACCAAATACGCCGTTAGGATTTGTAGACTGATGTTTCAAGTGTTACATTTCCCAGTTACAAAAATAAAATTTCAAAACCAAATCAGTATCTCTTGTCATATGCTTGAATGTAAATAGTGGAGTTCTCGGAAGTGCTTGTTGCTGGCTTACAACTGTTCCTACTGAAGCTGGACGCTCTAGGAAGAGTTGGGTACTGAATAGTTTCGGGAATCCTGCCAACTAAGCAACAGTAAGCTGCTTCCCTTCTAGTGCGTGTTAAAACTTCAATGCCTGTGTTTAAAAGTGACTTTGCATTTAGATGCTAAAGTGAAACTGTTTTTTAATTAGCCTGTGGTACAATTCACATAATGCCAGATGTAATACAAGCACTACAGTTGTCATCCTATGCGCAGAATGGTGTCTAGTCTTACCTGTTTCTCTTCCTGCATATGCTAATAGATTATGTGTCTGTAAACGTTGAGGATGATGTTGAAGCAGTGATTTTTGACCATGGAGAAAATGGAATGTCCACACAAAGCTGTGTGTCAATGGAACAAAACTCTGAAGTAAACAGTGTTGTCCACCATGTGGCTCAACGTGTTTATGGTAATTACTGTTCATTTTTATTGTGATCTAATAGTTAATGGCTAGCTTTAATGCTGTCTGTTCAGTGCTGCTGTCTTGAATGCTTTCTGTATTACCTGTATCTTTAAAACATATTTTATTAGAAAGCTACTTTATAGAAATTGCCTGGCAATGCATTTAAAAAGAGGGATCCTTTTAGTTATTACTTTAGAGGCCTTTATTAACAGTGAACCTGCTGAAAAAAGATGGTTTTTTACTTATAAAGTAAGTATACCTAGGAATAAATTAGCAAGCAATCTGGAAAAGAAATGTTGTGGAAGAACCTAACCCAAAACCTGAGGCTTTTAGATAAACTTTCCAGTGTAATTTAGTGGAGCACTGGGGATACTGATATACAATGATAGCAAGATGGCTGTTTAAGGTGATTAAACTATTAGCTGTAAGTTGCCTTTGATTGTCTTTGATTCATTGTATTTATTTTAACCTGTGTGGTGGGTTCACCCTGGCTGGACACCAGGTGCCCACCAAAGCCACTTAATCTCTCCCTTCCTCAGCTGGAAAGGGGAGAGAAAATAGAACAAAAGGCTCATGGGTTGAGATAAGGACAGGGTGAGGTCACTCACCAATTACTGTCATGAGCAAAACAGACTCGACTTGGGGAAATTAGTTTAATTTTATTACCAATCAAATCAGCGTAGGATGATGAGAAATAAAACCAAATCTTAAAAAAATCCAAACAAAACACCCCATCTTCCCCGAACCCCACCCTTCTTCCCAGGTTTACCTTTACTCCCCTGATTTCTCTACCTCCTCCCCTCTGGCAGTGCAGGGGGACGGGGAATGGGGGTTGGGGTCAGTTCATCACACGCTGTCTCTGCGTGTGAGGACTCCTCACACTCTGCCCCTGCTCCAGCCTGGGGTCCCTCCCACGGCAGACAGTCTCCCATGGTCTTCTCCAGTGTGAGTCCTTCCCATGGGCTGCGAGGGTAATGAGAAATAAAACCAAATCTTAAAAAAATCCAAACAAAACACCCCATCTTCCCCGAACCCCACCCTTCTTCCCAGGTTTACCTTTACTCCCCTGATTTCTCTACCTCCTCCCCTCTGGCAGTGCAGGGGGACGGGGAATGGGGGTTGGGGTCAGTTCATCACACGCTGTCTCTGCGTGTGAGGACTCCTCACACTCTGCCCCTGCTCCAGCCTGGTCCCATGGGTCCACGGGCCCTGCCAGGAGCCTGCACCCGCGTGGGCTTCCCACAGGGTCACAGCCTCCTTCGGGCACATCCACCTGCTCTGCCGTGGGGTCCTCCATGGGCTGCAGGTGGGGATCTGCTCCACCATGGGGCTGCAGGGGAGTCTGCTCCGGCGCCTGGAGCACCTTCTCCCTCTCTTTTTGCACTGACCTTGGTGTCTGCAGGGCTGTTCCTCTTGCATATTCTCACTCCTTTCTTTGGCTGCAAAATGTGCACTGTTTCTCCCCCTCCCTTTCTGCCACCATCGCTGATGGGCTCAGCCTTGGCCATCAGTGGGTTGCTCTTGGAGCCAGCGGGCACTGGCTCTGTCGGACATGGGGGAAGCTTCTAGCAGCTTCTCACAGAAACCAGCCCTGTAGCCCCCCTGCTACCACACAAACCCAATACAACATGCCCCTCGGAAATCTTGCCTGCTTCTCCATTGGCCCAGACAAAAATTAATCATAGCTGTAACGAGCATTTAGTAAGGCCTGTAGCAGTATTACCAAGTTAGCAAGGAAAATTACTATACAACTATAATTGTGGTAGCACTTACTAGTTGTTTGGGGGTTTGTTTGGATGTTGGGGTTTTTTTATTGTATTCAGCCACTTGACTTCATAGAGAATCCCATCAGTATTTCTCTTTAGCAGAGTCAAGTTATGTCTGTTTCCTAGTGTTGTTAGGTGCTTCTGAAAACCTTTTTGTCTTCTACTTGACAGTAGAGTATACTGTAATTTTTTATATGTTTATGTCTAAAAACATTTGAGGGAAGAGGATGGTTTACTTTGGGTTTTGTCTGGTTTTTTTAAAAATAATAAAAATTCCTGCCTGAGAAACTGTTGCAGACAGTTGCTGACCTTGGTTTCAGGACATAGGTAATTATTTCATTATCAACAAAGGAATCATGATGAGTAGATGTGATTGATTGTTTTTTAGAAGGTAAAAGATGGTTTTGTCATCTTTGGGCTTACAGCTTCTATTGTTGTAGATTGTTAGCGTTAGTTATGGTCTAGTTAAAATTGAGTACAGTGAGATGTATGACCAAAACATGACATAAGTTTATCTTGAATATAACTGTTGAACTTAACTCTTGGAACTGAAATTCTCTCAGATTGTTTTTATTCAACCACCATCTTAGGCTGGCATCTTGTATAATAGTGCCTTTTCTTCCAGTCTGGTTCTGTCTGTCCAAACTAGTTTTTTACTTTCATCTCTTATCTTCTTGCCTACGGATACTTAGCTGGCAGAGCAAACTCAGCATTGCTAAGATACAGATCTGGGTCTTTATTTCTCCTTGCCTGCTGCAGAACACTTCTACTTACATATTTATGCCCACAAACTCAGTGTCAGCTTTGCTGGTGCTTTTTTTGTTAGGTCATCGTATTTGTGCCTAAATCTAAATTTGGGAAGCTAATCAGAAAGACAATTAATTTAACATAAGCATATCTTGTTTAAAATGTATTTAAACCAGGAACCATGTTTCTCCAGGTGAAGTGGCATTCTGGTTTGGCTGCAGAAAGTATCTGAAGTTTGAGGGACTACACTGTGCCACTGCGTTAATCCTGCTGCCCTGTGCCCCTTCTTACTTGCAACATGTCCGCTTGCCTGAATCAGTGTGGGCCCCACAGAGCACTGCTATCTCCCAGGCTCTAAGTGCTGGAGGTGCTTAGTGCTAGGAGAGGAGTGCTAGCTTGGTCTGCGTGGCAAGGACGGGGATGAGATGATCCAGAAAAGGGAGCAAACTAGAGCTGGGTGAGGAGGGTAGGTAGGTTTTAATTTTCACCTGAGACAACAAATATTAAGTAATTGCATATGTATTTTTATTAGTCAGTTACCAATTGTGATTTCAAAATCATGTTAACTACACAAATCTAAATCTACCACAGACCTTGCTTAGGTAGCATCTGTCAGCTCTGCTGTAACATTTGTCTGTGCTCTCAATGCAAAGAAATTTTTTTTCTAGCTTATGATACTGAATATTTTGCTACTTTTCTGTCCTGCCCTTGGCCCTTCCTGTTAGAGTGCATGAAAGAAAAATGGTTGTCTTTGCTTTTCAGTATTTCTCTCAACTTGTTCCTGTCCCATTGGATTTGTTTTCTCTTCCTTCACTTCTGAGATATTAGTTCTACTTTCCAGTTGGACCGTGAAATTATTCCATTATTTTGCAAAAGTAATAAGAAGTACCCTTGCATTTTTTTTTTCATGCAGCCCCTTTTACTTGGGAGTAACTTACTGTAGGTATCCACAAAACTTTTCCACCATACCTTTTCAGCTTGGCCTAAGCTCCAAAAAGCCCCTTCACAGCAGATAGTATGGTGGAGAGTTGGTGTTGCCTTTTTATGCCAGCTAAGTTTTTCCTCCTTATTTCTTGGAAACATTCCAAGGTCTTGTTTAGCTGCTTAAGCTTTACTTGTCTTTTAATACCTTCTCTTATCTATATGTGTATCTTGTTTTCTGTATAGTGCTTGGCCCATCTATAGCTAAAATATATAGAACTCAAGGGGAAATAGTTACTTTTTTTTTTTCTTCTTCCTCTCTTAAAAGTGTGTTTGTTTCTTTTTAAAAGAGCTGCCATAGCCCTTTCCTGAAAGTTTGAGGTAGAAGCCTGTAAATTATGAGCAGGCAGATTTGGCTGTAGAGAGAGGCCTTTTCTCTTAACTGTGAAAATCCTTTAACATTTTTCAAAAGGTAGGTCTGGCAATTGTGTGGCCTTCAAAAGAATTGGGATTGAGCAGTGATAAACAGTGGCAATGGCTTTTTAACCGTGTGCTGGGCCCAAACGTGAAGAGGTGGAGGCATTTTGTGTACCGCTTGTGGATAGTTCGTGTTTGGTAGTCCCTGACCTACACTGGCTCAACAGAGGAGATAACCTGGAGCAGCTCTTGTTTGTTCCACAGTGCTTCAGTGACAAAACGGGGAGGGGGGGGAGCCCCATAAGTTTTTTTTTTTTTTTTTTTTTTTTTTTTTTTGGGGGGGGGAGGTGGGTGTGTGAATTCTATGGCTTCGTACAGTCAGACATGAGAACAGTGAATCAAAACAGTGAAAAGCAAGGGAAATGAAATGGAGGCTGGGGAGAGTTACAGAATCACAGAATTGTAAGGGTTGGAAGGGACCTCAGGAGTTTGGAAGAAAGAATTGAATTTATAATTTCAGATCTAAATAAATTGGATGAATAAGTGTTTAATAATACGCTAGTAAAAACAAATTTCAAATAACCAAGCAGTTTGAAAGTAAAAAAAAGAAATAATGGGTGACTCTGCATGGTTTTTGTAGTGAAATGTTTAATGCAGTAGGAAACCTGCTGATATGCTTTGCTTTCTCTCCACTTTTCCAGGAAGCGAAGACCTATCAGTGCTAGTTGAACGAGTGGCATCGCAAATGAGCCATTCTGCAAGTATGCAGAGAGGAAATGGTCACAGCCCTGAAAAAATGGATTTTGTGTTTTCACATAATAAAAGAAAACGACTTGCCCCTACTTTGGTGGGACAGAATGTGGTATGTTTCATTAAACAGTAGCCCTTTGTTTTGAGGCCAGTTTCAATGTTATTGGGAATGTCACTTTTCCTTCGCTTTTGTATGCTCATTTGATGACATCCTAGTGAAGAGAGAGTAGGATATCCATGTAGTGTTTGGAAGCTTCTAGTAAAACCTTGTGCTGGGTACTGTACGTGTGTACAACAACAGCTAGTATACAGCGGAGAATAACTTAGAGTAATCCCATGTAGATGCACTTACTTTTTCAGTAAAAATCTTTGTGCAATTTGGGATAGTAAGAGTTGAAATTTAATGTTGAATAAGGATTCACCTCAATGAACAATTGTGTCTCAGTACAGACTACGTACGTTTTTAACTTGAGGCATCCTGAAACTTAGTTCATGTCACCATATTTAATTCTTGAATTCCAACGATTGGGTGTCTTTAAGGTTATAAAAGCAGCTTCGCTCTGTTTAATCCTGCCTGTTGTAAAACATATAAAAAACACTCTCCATGCCCCCAACGTTCCTGTTTTAACATGAGACCTGATGAAATATGACTTAGTTTAAAAAAAAAAAAAAAACCAACAACAACAAAAAAACCAACAACAGACTCATGAAATCTGTGATGTATGATGGATGGGAACAGCTCCCATCCAAGAAAAATGTCAGAATTGTCCAGGTGGTGGCACTGTTGATTCCTGTCTAAAAGCAGTTTTCCAGCAGTAAGAAAATTATGTCTTCTAGACATTTTTACAGCCTCTGCATTTAGAGTTATACCCATTGAAATAAGTACACAATTTTTTCAAATTCATTTATTTAAATTAGTTTAAAAATCTGCATGGAGTCTCATAATTACATAAGCCTAACTGTATAGTACATATATAGTTAGATGAGATCAAGTTCTGGCTTTAGAATAACCAAATAAAAATACATATATTATATAAATTCACAAGAGGTTTATGTTAAACCAGAATAAGACACTCTTAAAACAAAAGTGAGTATTCATATGACCTGACCACGGGCACACAAATGAGATGACTCTCGGGCCCTTTTGTAGCCAGGGGAGGGAATATAGCTACAACTGAAAGTGTCCAAGTTGGATTCCTAGCAGGTTCCCTCTGTAGTTTGTATTTTGAATTCTTTCATTATTCAAAACATTAAAAGTTCTTTGTTACTTCCTAGATGAGAACCAGGGAAGGAGAATATGAAGATAGTGACAGTGTAATTTATGAGTATGAACCAGACTATGAATGTGTAAGTTAATTTTCTTTTGTTTGACTTTGAAAAGCTGTTTTGGGGATGCACATTTTGGGGTAGACTAAAATAACACATGAGGTTTGAAGTTGGGATTTTTGGCTTAATGTGATATCCTAAGACTGTGTATATATTACTACCTTACACACTTTTTTTTTGTCTGTTATTATTATTTTAATGAAAAAGGGGAGTATTGTGTCTGAAGCTTCGTACACTGGAGATCAGCAGAAAACTCTTATGGAGGTCCTGAGTTACTGCCAGGTATATTTTTTTCTTTATCTCTGAAATGGCATTTAAACAATTTTAGTTAAATTTCAGGAAGATTTGCATTCTATATTTGATAACCTGTGACTTCATTCTTTCTGGTTGTTAGTTAATTGCCCACTTCAATGTTTTCAATGAAAAAATAATCTTCTACTTCATATTCTCTGAACTTTTCACACCATAGCTGGCAAGAATACTTTTCAAATATGAAGCTTTAATACGAAATGTTAAGTCTAGTGATTTTTTGGGAGGGGCTTCACAGCAATGGGAAAAATCTGACTGTCATACATACCCAGCTTTTGAAAGTACACGAAGCTCACCAAAAGTGTGCCAAAATCCTGATAGTGTTGTTTTGGCAAGTTCATTGCTTTTGACTTCTGAAGCAGTAGCTGGCAAGGTTGAGAATCACTGCACTGAAAATTAAAGGCATCCCATATTTATTCAGGTGAGTGCTTATTTGACTGGAATCACAGTACTCTGTAGAGTGAAAGACATTCAGGCTGTGCTTTAAGGAGGATAATTTGTGAGTGGCTTGTAGCCAAGTATTAATGTCTTGTAAGTCTCCTTAAGCATATATTCAGCAATACTGTGGAAGAAAATTGACTAAGATTGTGTGACTGACATTCTTGCCACTAGTCTGGGAATGTGTGTTGTAGCAAGTAGCACTGAAGACCATCTATAGCCTCTTTTGCTGTCTACTAGCCCCTTTCCATCTCCTTCACCCCACTGTTACTCCCTCCTCCCAGTAAATCTGTGCTAGGGCTACATGAAGCCTTTTAATAATGCCTATACTGTTCATACTGATTTAAGGTCTTCTAGTGCTTCCTTGAGATATTTCTAAGTTTTGGGAAGATTTATAGATTCTACTGTCTAAGGATACTTATTTTTTTTAAATAAGATAGCTATCATATTGAAACCTAACTGTTGGTTTGGATAGAATTTAAAGCTAGTTTTAATTTTATTTACTACAAATCCATCTAGCATTTTTTAATACCCATATGTGGGTATTAAAAAATTTTTGTCTAGTTATGCTGTAGATCAATAAAAGAAATTGCTTTAGTTAGACACGTTTCCTATTTGTAACTCATATAGTTAAAAAGTCCTTGTGTGTTTTTTGCAGTTATAGCTGATGACATGTGTCTAATATGTATTTTCAAGTTGGCAGTGTCCTTTCAATACTAGATCAATATCCTGTTATCCAGTCCCTTTATACTGTTATGGCACAATTGCTGTGTAAGCATCATGTTTGAGTTGCTAAATCCTGGAAACACTGAAGAAGGAACTTCCTATATGGCACAGTAACATGTAGTAATAACTGATGGACTTTGAATGCTTTGATTTATCTGGCTTTTATGTCTGAAAATCTGGGCCTTTACAATAATACTTTTTAAAAGTTTGTACCTGATTGCTTTAGTAAGGCAACATGAATGTTTCACATCTGAAAGAAAACTTGACCTTGGGGATTGACTGAAGATCAGACACTTTCAATAAAATAAGTAGGTTTTTTTCAAATTCTTTCTTTTATTCTGTGATTATTAAAAATGTGGATGCAGTTGATTTCAATGCCATCTTTGTTCTGAAAGGCATGGCTGAGTTGATTTCTCCATACATCTCCTTTTCACAGAATCACAGGATGGTTGAGGTTGGAAGGGACCTCTGGAGGTCATCTGGTCTAACTCCCATACTCAGGCGGGACCATCTAGAGCCTGTTGCCCAGGACCATGTCCTGATGGCTTTTGAGTATCTCCAAGAAGGGAGTCTCCATAACCTCCCTGGGCAACCTGTGCCAGGGCTCAGTCACCTTCAGTGAAAAAGCGTTTCTTTGTGTTCAGAGGGAACCTCCCGTGTTTGAGTTTGTGCCTGTTGTCTCTGGTCCTGCGCCTGGGCACCTCTGCAAAGAGCCTGTCTCCTTCTTTGCCACCTCCCTTCTGGTATTTGGATGCATTGCAGAGATTTGCCCCAAGCTTTCTCTTGTCCAGATTGAACAGTCCCAGCTCCCTCAGCCTTTCCTCATTTGAGAGATGCTCCTGTCACCTTCATGGCTGGACTCCCTCTAGTATGTCCATGTCTCTGCTGTACTGGGGAGCCCAGAGCTGGACCCAGCACTCCAGGGATAGCCTCACCAATGCAAAAGGGAGGGGAAGGATTCCCTCCCTCGACCTGCTGGCAACACTTTGCCTAATGCAGCCCAGGGCACCATTAGCTTTCTTTGTGGCAAGGGGGCACCATTAGCTTTCTTTGTGGCAAGGGGGCACCATTAGCTTTCTTTGTGGCAAGGGGGCACCATTAGCTTTCTTTGTGGCAAGGGCATGTTGCTGACTAGTCTTCAACTTAGTAACCACCAGGAGATCCCAGGTCCTTTTCTGCCAAGCTGCTTTCCAGCTGGCTGACCCCCAGTACATACTGGTGCCTGGAGTTGTTCCTCCCTAGGTGCAGGGCTTTGCACTTCTTCTTGAACTTCATGACATTCCTGTCGGCCCATTTCTCCTGCCTGTTGATGTCCATCTGGATGGCAACACGACCCGCTGGTGTATGAGCTGCTTCTTCCGGTCTGGTGTCATCGCAAACTTGCCGAGAGTACACTTTGCCCATTGTACAGATCATTAAGGAAGATGTTAAACGGGACTGGACCCAGTATTGACCCCTGGGGTACTCCACTAGTTACTGGCCTTCATCTAGACTTTGTGCTGCTGATCAACACTCTCTTGGACCAGCCATTCATCCAGTTTCCAATCTACCTCACTGTCCACTCATCCAACCTGTATATCAGCAACTTTTCTGTGAGGATCTTACTGGATACAGTGTCGAAGGCCTTCCTCAAATTCAGGTAGACAATACCCACTGCTCAACTCCCATCTACCAGGCTAGTCATTTCATCATAGAAGTTTTATCAAGTTGGTCAACTGCAACTTCCTCTTGGTGAAGCCATGCTGTGATTACACCTGGTGGTATTACTTTCATTCATGTGCCTGGAACTGGTTTCCTGCTTGTGACCGGCCTCCAACTGGATTTAACTCCATTGACCATCATCTTTTTCATGTGCTTGAAAATGGTTTCCAGTGTTAGCTGCTCCATCACCTTCCCAGGGATGGAGGCAAGGCTGACTGGCCTGTAGTTCCCTGGGTCCTCATCCTTGCCCTTCTTCAAGATAGGAATGATGTCTGCTTTGCTCCAGTCTTCAGGCACTTCTCCTGCTTGCCTTGATTGATCAAAGATTATCAGGAGTGGCCACACAATGACATCAGCCAGCTCCCTCAGCACTCATGGGTGCATCCCATCAGGCCCCTTGGACTTAATGTGTGTTCAGTTTGCTTTAGTATTCCCTGACCAGACTGTCTTCCACCCAGTGTGTATTCGTTGCTCTGACCTTTCCCCCTGGTCTCTGGGACCTGGGATTCCAGAAGGCCAATCTTGCTGATAAAGACTGAGGCAAAGGTGGAACTGAATCCCTCAGCCTTTTCCGTGTCCTGTGTCACCAGGTCCTTTGTTTCATTCAGCAGTGGGGCCATGCTTTTCCTAGCCTTCCTTTTTGTCACCTGTGTACTTACAGAAGCCCTTCTTGTTGGTTTTGACATCCCTGACCTCATTCAATGCCAGTTGGTACTTTTATTTTACAAATAGTATCTTTCTAAATATATTTCCCATTGGTGATATAGAAATCAATATTTCTGTGGCTGCCTATAAGTCTTTTACCTGTGCACTTGGAAACTTACTATGACTTAAAATAGCATATCGTAATACCTAACTTACCTTAGAGCTTGTCAGTTGCTTTTCAACGTAAAACAAAACATCCTAAATGGGTAAAAATAAAACATCTGATGTAAGCAGGAAGGACAGTCTTTAAGTGCTAGCCACGTTGCAAGAGTAAGCTTCTCTGAGAATTCTTTTTACTGTGATATTTACCTTTGTCATTTGCATTTTGTATCTAAGTTAATCTTTAATATGTTTGCAGAATGTATATATTATGTACAGATCTTACCCAGTTTTAGGGGCTTCTGCCCTTAATTGAACTTTCTTGATTTCTAAAGATTTAAATTGGGTTCATGTAAAACAATACTGTTTCCACTCTTTCATTTGTTGTCAGGCCATGTATGATGCCATTCAGAAATTAGATAAAAAATTTGACCTGCTTCATCGGAAGGTCTCAGAAATGCAGCATACTCGTGTAAAGCCGCTGTTGCTCAAACCTGTGAGTATTAAAGACCTAAAACGTCTACTTTTCCTTTAATTCTCTTTCTTCCTCTGATGCTTATTTTAAAAAAATCCTCTCCTTTCACTAAGATTAAAACTAGTAGCAAAGTAGTAGACTTAAAATGCATTTCAAATTATTCTAGATTTCTTACTATACACCAGCTTCAGTCTCCTGTGTTGTTATTGACCAGTGGTCACAGAGTGGCCCCCATCAAATTTGGGATGCTGTGGCAGATGCTGTAAGATTCTGTTTTATTGGGATGAACAGAAATGAATTGTGTAGGTTACATCTTAAACTTGGGGATGTTGGTGTTGCTGCTTTATGAGATGTGGTGTACTGTCTCATCGGTTTCTGCAGTTAAAGAGAGCTTGTGCATTACTCACATGAGCTGGTTCAATTGTCTAACTGGTTTTTAGATCTCAACAATGTGGTGTCATATATATGGTATAGAATAGTTTTTTTAATAAAATCCCTTTTTTCTTTTCAAAATTTTTAAGAAGCTTTGTTATTGAGTACACACTATCTATTTTGGTTCTATATGGTCAATCCACTGTTAACTAAGGAGACAGAATATTAGTACTTGTGACAATGCTCTTTAAAAGGAAAACATAACAGATGATTTTTGAAGAGGGTCATAAAATCCGTAATGACCTGCCTTTGTCAACAATACTACAAAGCTTTTAATGTGGCAGAGATGATCCTGCTGTCAGGAGATATCAAGACATAGTAAGGCCGTTTGCTTTAAGGATTGGTAAAAGCAATGATATTCTTGTGCCTGCCAGTTATCAGTAGGATACTGATAGGTTTTAGGTTTTATTTCAGAATGCATTTTTGTTGACAACTCCAAGCTCGTACTGCCCACACATCTAAAAATATGAGATTCAGGGAACAAACTGGTCTTGTCAGCCACGGTTGAACCCTGTGTCCTCTGTGCTCTTACCCTCCCCTCTGATCATGTGGATTGGCAGCTGCTTTAATGTTCAGATTAAGTGACCTGTACTGTGTTTTTTTGAAGAAGGCTTTTATAACTGTAAGGCGTAAGGGGAAAGCTACCAAGTGCAACCTGCCAACCATTTCCTTAGGTTCTGCTAGCACTTTAAAATCATCAGGAATGCTGTAGATTTTCTGCAGTTGTACCAGTGTTGTATCTTGTATATGTGATGGTCTAAGGATCTAAACAAGGAAAGGGTGGTGGTAAAGGGACTTTTTTTTTTTTTTTTTTTTTTTTTTAAATTAGATCAACTGAAATGGACAAACTTTCAGGCACGTAAGCCTTTCTTCAGGTCATACTTTTTTTTTTTTAAAGGTTACAAGGGTGGAATATAATCAGATTTCTGTAAACAAACAAAAAAACCTCTAACCCTCCCCCCCCCGCCCAAAAAAACCCGAACAACCCCAAACCAAAAAAAACAACCAAAAACCCAAACCAAACAAAAAAAAAACAACCTATGTGTCAGCTACATTTGATAGCTCCTGCTCAGTGACTTGCATGCATTCTAGTTCAAAGTACCTTAGGATGCATGTGTTTCATAATAAAAGTACTCCCAGGTGGTGGAAAGCATAGGCCGTCTCTCAGTTTGTCTGTCTTAGTCTCTTTAGAATCTTGAATTGTAGATGAGATCAGAATGTTTAATGTTTTCAGCTAGCAAGTAAAAAATGAAGAGACATCCAGGAAAGAAAGTGAATTGTTTTTTTTTCTTGTGTAAAAGGAAGTTATCATGGCAGTGGAGACATCCCTTGAAAATTCAGCAGACTGACTGAGTCAATGGCTGACAAATTTTACATTTTATTTCACCTGTTCTTTTTTTCTAGAGCTTTTTTTAAGAGCCTTTACAAAGCTGCCTTTCTCATTATATATTTTTCTGGCTTTTTAGAATGCAGTTGTGCCAGCACCCCAGCTGGAAAAAAAAACATGAGAAACGTTGAAGCTGACTGGATAAACCCATAGTGTTGGAACTACAAGTGAGAATAAAAGAAAGTAGAGGGAAGGCTAAAAGTAGTAGCACTGGCTTCATGATAATGACTACTTCAATGAAGAGTGTGTTGCCAATAGCATAATTACTAAAATCTGGTCTTCCTGGTTTGCAAAAGAGAAAAACTGCCAAATATGTCTAATTTAACCTTTTAATTGTTTTCTGAATCCCATTTGCAGAAACCAGGTGGATTTACGTACAGAAGTTCCAGTCATTTGCCCCATGGAAAAATAAGAGTACAAAAATCCATGGAAAGGGAATCAAGTCTTCATCTCTCTTCACCAGGCCAGGGAAGGCACAGCCCAGTCATAAGGGTTGCTTTACAAAATGGCCATGTTCAGGTCAATTCCACAGTAAAGCATGCTCAACAGAGTCTTCAGCTTGAATCACAGCAGCCTGTTCACAGGCAGAGCCCACCACTCCCCACTATAGTTTCTACTCATTCATTGCATTCATCATACACATCAGCTAACAGGATGCCTGACCTTTCTCCAAGATCAAATCTTGTAGCTAGCGTTGTGGAAAGCACTGTCAATGTTGCATCTTCACCAGTGCCATCATCATCGATGCCAGCACCATCTGAGACCAGTTTGGGAAATAATGCTGCAGTGGTGAACTACAGAAATGCATCTGGGAATGTGAACATTAGTAAAGAACTACCATCTTCTTCAGTCTCCATCAATCCTAGCTATGGTGAGTTCCTTTGTAATAAATACTCAGAAAGAAAGGCTAAAAAACTGCTTCTGGTATAAACAAATATGCCTAAAGAAATCTCTTTATCATTATTTAGCAAAAGTAAAGGAGCAGAACTGGCTGCCTTACAAGCATTTCTGTAACAGAATGCTGTTTAGAACTCTTGAAACAAAGGTCACGGCAATGTGTAATATGCCAGGGATCACTTAAAAACCTCTGTGTTACGTATACAGTTGTATAGACTACCACAAGCCTTTGATTTACAGTACGTGATATGGGTTCTTTTAAGACTAGGCCTTCTTTTTCTCTCTTGATGCTCTTGATGTAACCTATTTTAAACCTGTGTATGTGTCATAAGTAATGTATGCATGCTATGCATATGTTTAAAAAGACAAAAGAGATTGCCAGTAAAGCTAAGTGGGGTGTATACCTGTATACATCTTTTGCATTTAAGAAAGCAACTTACTTGATTTGTGTGAAGGAAATACCTGTTTTCTTTTTGTGGAGTATTTTCAGTGAAAAATCCTCATTCTCCTCAAATCCTCCAGTGTTTGGTTTCTTTCAAAATAATTCCACAGAAAATGAAGAATTCCATAGATCATTGCATTATAATAAACAAGCACTTATAAAATAGTACCATGTTTTTAAAACTAATGCATTTCTTTATAAAGTATAAATGCCCTGAGTTATGTGGAGGGCTGAGCTATGAGTTTTTGATTGCTTTTGGCCTAAAATATAAGTTCATACAGCTGCAGAGCTGCATGAATAGTAGGTGAAATACTCTATCTACCTGCAAATTTGTAAACAGTGTATGATTTAGTGGTACTATGTATGGATATACCATTCTTCATGGGTCATTGTCTTGAAAGCATACGTGGTATCTGCACATGTGTAAAATAGGCCACCTGAAACATTTTGGACTCTTGTGTGTCTAATGTATTTTCTTGGGTGCTATTATTTCAGTTAGTTACATTGGTGGTTAACGTGAATCAAAAAGATGTTTCTGTTACCATTCCAATTTAAAGATGCTTTTGTAAGAGCAAAGATAAGTAATACATAGTAGAACTAGTTGTAGCAGAGAACATATACCAAGAGTACTATAGAGGTCAAGAGTGTTTGAAAAAGTGTTCTTAACAACTTGCTTGGGTTTCTAAATTTTTTTTTTTCTTTAAATGTTTTTGTTTTATGAAAGAGTTTGTTGGTGACCCAGTGAGAAATGTGAAAGTTCTTGGAAACTATTTGATGAAAGCTCGGCAAAAGACTAAACCAAAGTATGCAGCGCGCTACTTAGTTCGTGTCTTGTTCCCCAAGGAAACATTATTATGCAGCATTATGGGAGCGAGTGCACGAGGGCGCAGAACATTGGATCCAAACAAAATTGCTGCAATAAGAGGTATGTTACCATTCAAAACGCATGGATTTATGTCTTTAATATTTAACGTTTTTAACTTACAAGGAGTCCTTTTCTGTATGTTTCTGCTAATCATTGTCCTGCAACTGGTGAACTAGTAAGTGCAGTAGTGGATGTGTTCCACTCTGCTGTGTCTTTTGGTTTTGAAATACCTGCTTTGTAATTCTAAAATGTTTGTTTTTCTTCAATGTGGATAAAACAATTCTGCATTCTCATATTTTTGTGTACTCCACGTTCATCAGTCATGCTGACTGTTTCTAAACTTTTCATTACAGCTTTGTATTTGTGTGTGGCATGGGTGGGGTTGTTGTTTTTTGGGGGTTTTTTTGGTGTTTGTTTTTTTTTTTTGTTGGTTCATTTTTCTGTTTGGTTTGGGGTTTTTTATGAGCTTGGTATACTTGGGACAAAAGTCAACTGGCGATTCTTAAATATGCTACTCTTTTAAGTTCACTTCTCTTGTTTGTTTGAGAAATGGTAAAGATGGGGAGGGCATTTTTTTTTTTTTTTAAATGTCAAGCCATTTACACAGATCCCATGGCACATATGTGAGAACCTATACATCTTCCTGTTTATAGGGTGGGAGATTACTTAAGCCATGTGAAGTAGTTGCAGCATCGGCATTACCCTGTCTTCGTGTTTTGTGTTTGGGTTTTTTTTCGTTGTGTTTGGTTTCTTTTTCTAAAGTTAGTATGATAAATCTCACCTTTCTCCTACTTTTATCAGGAGATGCTTAATAATAAAAGCATTATTCGCAACATCCCAAAACTATCACTGCACATCTAAAATTCATAGTGCTGCTTAGCTTCAAAATGTGGACTTATGATCTCCTTTTAATAGAAATCTAAAGCTTCTAAACGGAGAATAGTAAATGTGAAGCATTTCTTAGCTTTCTCTCTTTCTTTCTATATTAGAATACTTTTAAATACTGCCTTTTGTCATGAAACTTAAAAAACTTTCGACCTTTTATTTGCAGAATTTCTTGCAACTAACTTTCCAAACTATGATTTGAGCGAGCATGGAAAAGACTGGAAAACCTGTATCACAAATGTCAATGCTATGATCCGCTGTTTACGCTCTGAAACAAAAATAAACCCAGCAAGTTGTCTTGAGGTGATAATTTATTAAGTACTAAGTTTATGCTTCTTTCCCAAATTAATTATTTGAATTCCTTATCATATGAGTCCTCTAATTGGAAATTCCATGGGCTCTGTCTTTGTTCTGCTCAGCACAGGCCTGCTGACTGCAGCACTAGTTCCATATGGGGAATATCCCTTTCTGATACCTGGACAAGCTGGAGAGGTGGGCCTGTGTGAATCTCATGAGGTTCAACATGGCCAAGTGCAAGGTCCTGCACCTGGGTCGGGGTAACCCCCAGTATCAATACAGGCTGGGGGATGAAAGGATTGAGAGCAGCCCTGCCGAGAGGGACCTGAGGGTGCTGGTGGATGAAAAGCTGGACATGAGCCGGCAATGTGTGCTGCCCAGAAGGCCACCTGTCCCCTGGGCTGCATCAAAAGCAGGGTGGCCAGCAAGTCAAGGGAGGGGATTCTGCCCCTCTGCTGTGCTCTGGTGAGACCTCACCTGGAGCCCTGCATCCAGCTCTGGGGCCCTCAGCACAAGAAAGACATGGAACTGTTAGAGCGGGTCCTGAGGAGGGCCACAAAAACGATCCGAGGGCTGGAGCAGCTCTCCTATGAGGCCAGGCTGAGAGAGTTGGGCTTGTTCAGCCTGGAGAATAGAAGGCTGCGGGGAGACCTGATTGTGGCCTTTCAGTACTTAAAGGGAGCCTATAGGAAGATGGGGAAAAATCTTTTTATTGGGGCCAGCTGTGACAGGACAAGGGGTAATGGTTTTAAACTAAACCAGGGTAGGTTTAGACTGGATACAAGGAAGAAATTCTTTACAATGAGGGTGGTGAAACACTGGAACAGGTTGCCCAGAGAGGTAGTGGAGGCCCCATCCCTGGAAGCATTCAAGGCCAGGTTGGACGGGGCTCTGAGCAACCTGATCTGGTTAGCGGTGTCCCTGCTCCTGCGGGGGGGTTGGACTAGATGACCTCTAGGGGTCCCTTCCAACCCAAAACATTCTATGATTCTCTTGCGCTGCCTCTTCCTGCTCCTGTGTCCAGCATTCAGTTAAGAGATGTGTGAGTATAGAATACTGAAAGGAAAGCACTGCAAATGTTGCTGGGAAGTAGTATCAAAATTGTCTGTGAGCTTAAACATGTAGCTGCTTAGCACTGTTTTCACAGGCTTTCCTTCAGATATATCCAGCCATGCATTTCAACTTTATATTGACTGAAATATCACTCCCAAAACACGTGTAACTGTTCTAAAAAGTTTTGTGCAAATCTGTGAATATTTAGTATCTGTTTCACCTGTGGTTTTCATGACTGAAATTCAGGAGTGACTATACTGTAAACATCTGGAATCTAATTTATACTAAATGCGAAATGAACAGGAATGCTAATTAGAAAACAGGCTTCTCCCAGTGCATGTGCTAACCTCATTTAATGTTTCAGGAGACAACCGAAGAGAAAGAAAAAGTGGCTGATGCTCCAGATACATCTCATTGTGTAGATTTAAATTATAATGAAGATAGTGAAGGCAGTTCTCAAAACTCTCAGAAAATGACCGGCTCCACAACTGATGCGTTGCAGAATTCAGGATCGGATAAGTTTCCAGAAGCTTTCCATACACCTTCAGTCAAGAAACCACAGTCTTTGGAACCTATGGGTAAACTAAGAAATTTTTATCTTTGGGATTTGTGTGTTACATTTTAACTGGTCAGTAAGAGGCAGAAGATGCTACTGTAGGTAGAATTGTGTAGTAAATGATTTTGCTGAACTATGTGACTTCCTCTTAAGGCAGTGACTTGGTGTATATATAGTAGTTGCTCTTCATGGGAGCAAACAAGAATGTTATCTGGCTAACAGAACATGTGTTTGCGTCTACCAATGTCCCATCATGTCCCTCTGGAACATGTCCAGAGGAGAGCAACAAAGCTGGTGTGAGGGGTCTGGAGCACAAGTCTTATAAGAAGTGGCTGAGGGAACTGGGGTTGTTTAGTCTGGAGAAAAGGAGGCTGAGGGGAGACCTTATTGCCCTCTACAACTGCCTGAAAGGAGGCTGTAGCAAGGTGGGGGTCGGCCTCTTCCCCCAGGTAACGGGTGATAGGACGAGGGGAAATGTTCTGAAGGTGCACCAGGGCAGGTGTAGGTTGGACATTAGGAAAATTTTTTTCAATGACAGGGTTGTCAAGCATTGGAATGGGCTGCCGAGGGGAGTGGTGGAGTCCCCATCCCTGGGGGTATTTAAGAGACGGACAGGCGAGGTGCTTAGGGACATGGTTTAGTGGTGGGATGGCAGGCTTAGGTTAACAGCTGGACTTGATGATCTTGGAGGTCTTTTCCAACCTAAACAATTCTATGATTCTATAATGCATCTCCGCTGTAAGATTGGAAAGTTCAGCTGTAAGATAATTCTGTCCAGTTTCTCTGAATAATTATTTTTCATTAATTACTTCACAGTTGCCCTGTTTTTTTTCCTCACTTGGTATATATTCTAACTTAATGGAGTAAGTTAGCTTAGAGCATCTATGGAATGGTATTGCAATTTCAGATGAAAAGCACACCTTTCTGTAAAACTGACAGTTTAGGACAATAAAAATCTTAAAGCAGCCTTTATATTTTTTTTTTTTTTTTAAAGATACAAATGCATTGGAAAAAACGCCATGTACAGCATGTGATGCCTCTAGAGAGCTACAAGGAAAATGGGCTTAGTTGTCCTTGGAAAGTATTTGATCAGAATCACTTTGGGGCTCTATCAGATCTGTTCCTGCACCCAACATTTATTAGTCTGATCTCACAGACCTCCTGATTTACTATACGTTTTGTGGTTTGGGTTTGTTTTTTTTTTTTTTCTCCTTGCTTCCTTCAATGTTTGCAGTGGAGTCAGACTGAAGTAGTTAAAACATTCACTCTGTCTTTCTACTTACAGGATCTAAGCACTATTGAAATAGCAGAGCTTTTTATTTACTTATGTAATTGGAATAGCATCTCCTCACAAGACAAAAACAATTCAGAAAGCAATCATTAGTAATGCAGGTTACATTGCTAGCATGGCTGAAAGCATATCAGAAATGCTGTTGCATCATTGTGAAATAGGCAGGGGTTTTTAGCTACTTAGACATTTGTCTGCAATATGTTGCATTTTACTATTAGCTGTAGTGTTACAGTTTTGCTCTGATCTTTTCAAGCAAGTACAGTAGTTTTAGTGTAATGTAGCCACCTTGAAGCATGGTCAGTATTCAATAAGTAAAATCTTTCTCTCCCTCTCCCCCCCGCCCTCCATCTCTTCTAGAACTTCTTGGAAGTCCATGGCGCAACGTTCAGTTGCCTTTCTCAGTCCTTTATGTAGCTAAGGGGAAGTCTCGGCCAGAGTTGTCAGCTCGCTACCTAATTCGTCATATGTTCAGTGAGGATGTGCTGGTAAAAAGCAATGTATATGGTAATCTTGAACGTGGCATGAGCCCACTGGACTGCAACAGAATTAATGCTCTCAGAGGTAAGGAAGAAAATCTCTGTTCAAATGATAATGTGGGGAAATGAACAAGAGTAATTAACTTTGTATCCTATGAACAAACCGTGGAGCTTCAGAAATAAGTCTATGAAACTGTTCTGACAGGTATTGGTGCAAGCAGCGGAACTAGGTGAGAGAAATTAGATTAAGTTATATTTAAGCAACTCAAGGAAGTCTCCAGATCACAAACCTGGCTTGCATGAGGAAACTGAGTCTCCATGGTATCTGCTTGAAAGGGCAACACAGTGGGAGATGGAAGCAGAGGATTCTGGAGGGTGTCAGGGGTAACTTCTTGATACAGGAGCTAGGTAGGCTGACCAGAGGTAATGTACAACAGGTTATGGCACTCATCACAAAAAAGGTTGAGGTGTGATAAGCAGTGGCAGCATTGCCTGTAGAGTCTATGAAATAATGGACCTCAAGATCCTGAGTAGAGTTAAAAAGGACTGAGAGTACAGATCCTGAAGCTTAGGAGAGCAGACTTTGGCTTATTTGGGAGCTCATAGATGGGAGCTTGTGAGCTCTGAAGAGGAGAGAAGCTCAGGAAAGTTGACAGGTCTTTAAAGGTCTTGCATTCTGCAAGCACAAGAGAGTCCATCCTGACACTTGGGAGAACCAGTAGTTATGGGAAGACAAGTTTGGCTAAGTAGGGAATCCATAACTGATCTCCAGTGCAAAAAAGTAGTATATAGAGATTGGAAGCAAGGACAGCTTATGAAGCAGAATTTAGCAGCTTTGCCTGGGAGTGCTGGAATAGTGTCAGGAAAGCCAAAAGTCAGCTAGAGTTGAGACTTGCAAGTAATGTCAGGGGCAACAAGAGCAGCTACCACATTAATCGTTAAAGATTGAGCAAGGAGAGTGTAGGCCTGTTGCTGAATGGGGCAGGTAATTTAGTGACAGCAGAGTCAGATTAGGCTGAGGTGGTCAGTGCCTTCCTTACCTCATTCTTCACCACTCAGGCCTCTAGGGGGTGGTGGTGGTTGGGAACAGCATTATTTTACATAGGGTGAATCATGTTTGACCCACCTGATTGCCTTGTGTGATAAAATGACGGGGTTTATGGGCAAGGGGAAAGCGGTGGCTGTTGCTTAGCTTGATTATTTTTTTTAGCAAGGCTTTCAACACTGTCTCTGACAATATTTTGGTATTCACATTGGGATGTTACAGTTCAGATGGGTGGATGATGTTAAAGGACTAGGTGGATGTTTGTGCTCAGAAGGTTGTGGGTCATGCTCTACCTGGGTGACTGACGCCTGGGGTACTGCAGAGGTCTGTCCCAGTACCTGGCCTGTTTAACATCTTTATGTATGACTTGGAGACAACAAAGAACACTCATCAGGTTTGCATTTGACAGCAAATTGGGACTATATTAACAGGTGCACAGCCAGCAGATCAAGGGAAGGGATTATCTTCTTCTGTTTAGCGCTCATGAGTTTGCATTTCGATTACTGTGTCCAATTTTGGGTCCCCTAGTACAAGAAAGATACCGATAAAGCTGGAGGGCCACCAAGAATGATAGGGAACTAGGGTACTTGCCCAGTGAGGAAACTGGGTTTATTTAGTCTGGAAAAGAGAAGGCTCCAAGGGGACCTAGTAGCAGCCTGCCGCTGTCTGTCTTCTCAGTAAACTTCTAGAGTCAAGGTGTTTGCAGCATTGAATGCGGGAAGATGAGAGACTGCAGGCATAAACCGAAACGGGAGGCTCAGACTGGATATTGGCAGACTCCTTCTCCCATGAGGACAGTCAAGCAGTGGAGCACGTTGCCCCATGAGGTTCTGCCATCTCCATCCATTTCCCACACCTTGGTGGACAAAGCCCTGGGTAACCTGGTCTGACCTCAGAGTTGTCCCTGCTTTGGGCAGAAGGTGGGAGTAGAGACCTCCTGAAATCCCTCATGGCCTGAGTGACTCCAATTGGAAAGAAGCAGATTTAAGTGCCTTGCCCTTCTAAGGGCTCAGAGGTCAGCTGCACCTATTCATGTAAGAGGCTCCAGTGAGAGAAAAGGTCTCAGCAAATGATGTAGTTGTTTGGAAGCTACAGGTGGGATAAGGACTGCTGCCAAATGAACGGGCAGCATTTTGAACTGGGCCAGTTTGAGACATTTGAATAACAAATCTTCACTGGAGTGTGTCTTTTCAAATAAGGTGTAACAGCCTATCCTATGAATATGGACAACTTTGCAGTTTCCTCAGCTTCCATGAATCCAGGGTGTCTCCAGGAAACTGGTATTACTTACTCTCTTTGCAAATGTTGTTCCAGAAGCAGACAGAGGGTATGTTATGGTTGGAGTTGTAGCAGTTTTGGCTTCTGCATTGTTCTCACTTCAGCATTAAGACTTCCATGCTTCTTCCTGAGAGGGAGTCTTCTATTAGTCTCATTCAGTCCCTTCTGCAAGGCTGGGTAAAGCAAGCAGAACTATGACAGTAGAATTAGTATAACAGTGTATGTAGCAAGTGAGGAGGAATGTGAAGCAGGTTGTAGGTAGAAAAGGTCCATGCGTTATCACATGGAAAAGAAGTTGCCGTTATCTGGTAAGATTTAAGCATGGCCAGCACAAACAATGGTGTTGGGGGTGGGGAGAGGAAGATCATCAGGTTTTTGGTGGCCATTTGCTCAGTGGCTGTTACAGTACCTTAGAGAGTTCAACATATTTGAGAAGGTTTGGTCATGCAATAGAGAAATCTTGCCACCTTTTCTTTAATTTTCTGTATTGTTGTCATATTTTCACTGTAGAAGTTGGCTTTCTCTATGAGAAATCTGAAGAGAAAATACTTTGCCAGGAATTCTTGGGTTTTGCTTGTGGGATGTTATTTACTGGGCTGGATCCCAGGCTGCAGGCAGTGTAATAGCGGAGTGCCTTCAACATTTCCCAACACTGCTTGCTTGATGTAGGGTTTTACTTCCTCCTGTGTCCTTATGATGTTGCTGTGGGATAGTACTCACTAGGTTAGTTAGGTTGCATATCTGACTAGTTACTGTCATCTAGATGACACTCTTAGTTTTATGATTTGGTTTTAGGTAATCCTGTGAGGAGCAGGGAGTTGGACTCTCTGATTCTTACGGGTCCCTTCTGACGTGAGATATTCTAGGATTCTGTGATTAATCACGCTCCTAACAAATCTTGAAACTGCTTCTCCGACATGTCTGGAGTATAGGGAGGTTGAAAGGGTTGTTAAGATCTGGGTATAGGTATTGCCTTTGATTTGAAATTACAGCTGAGAATTCCTTTTTGGTGCTTATTTAAATCTTTTGGAGGCTTGCTTAGAAAAAACAGTAATTCAGCTAAGCTCAGAAGGAAAATCAGTCCTCGGCAATTAAAAAAAAAAAAAATCTATTTTCAAAACTACTTATTTTACTTGTTGAAGGGGAGAAAAGTGCCATAGTCTTACCTTAGTGATCCAGTTGGTACTGAACTCAAGTATTTGTTTACTGATCATGTTGCAGTATGGTAAGGAACAAGCTCTTGCAGTTTTTCTGTCACTGTTGTTCCTCTACAGCTGTGTTACGTTGAATTGCTGTGTTTCATTTTAGTGAATATAGTTGTCAGAGATCCTCTGAAGGAGGGCTTGGTCCTGCCAAATACTGGTCATTCTGAAATGGCGCCTGAGATTTCTTTGCTCTGGTTGACCACATTAGAAGCTGAAGTTATTCAGCACTTCAAGGGATCAAGCCATGGTTACATCATTTCTTTGCATATTTTGTTTTTATGCTTAGACCTTTTATTACTCATTTTCAAATTAAACAGAAAGAGGTTGGAAAAATACCTGCCCTCTAGCTTTGCTCTTCAAGCCCCGTAATATGTCTAGCTGTCCTGTTCTGGTAGCATGCACTTGTTTTGGAAAAACTATATAGCTTGCATAAATCATTGATAACTCACTGTTATATCCTTGTTTATTTTTAGACTTTCTTCAAGAGAATTATCCATCCTTCGATCTAAAGGAAACTGGATATGATTGGAAGGCGTGCGTGGCTGCCATAAACAGCACAATCCGCAGTCTCAGACATGACCATAAAAAGGCTACAGTTCGAATCCGCCGGAAAGTCTTGGTAGTGCCATCATTGAGTGCAAAGAGTGCTCCACAGAGTCCCACTTCAGCAAAGCCATTTGAAAGCGATACTATCAATCTCGCGGACTGAAGCTCTTTAACGTCTGTCTCAAATCTTAATTTAGCAGGTTTTTATAAATCTCACATAGAAGCCTATTACACTGAGTTGTCCTATTATACTGAGTTGTCAGCAGCACTAAATAGTATTATTTCATGAAACCAAAGTTAGCAAAAGACTTGGGAACCCTAACTCCTCGTATATGTAGCACTTGTGCTCCTCAGAAGTTACTTCCACTGTTCCCTGTAGCATTTCCAATGTGCTCTCCCCTAAAAGCACCTTTTTCTCACGATGCATTGACTCTGAAAGAATTAATCTGATTAGAAAAGATGCACTGCACATCAAGTCAGCAGGAGCAGATAGGAATGTGGAGAGGAAAGAATGGTCCTCCTCAGAGGAAGACACGTAGCCGCTAAATTATCTCATTATGTGTGAGGAATGAAATTTGCTTTGACAATTGGATATTTTAAGCAAAAACATCTAATGCAGAAAGGGAAAAAAAATTATTGCATCTAGCTAACTTGTTATATCTCTCACATTTTGCCTCCTATAGCAGTCTTTATATTAGGATAAGGAAAGAGGCAGATGACAATGTAAGTACAGTTGGTAATGTTTTCTTTGCTCTGATTTAGCTCTATAAAAGCACAAAAAAGCATCCAGAACAAACAGTCCAATGGTTGGTTCTGTTTTTTTCTTGGTGAAAAGTAAAGAAAATACTTCATCAGGGGCTTGGTCTGCTGTTCAGTGGCATATATCTCATCCACTGGTGTGGATGTCCACAAGATGCAAATCTGCTGCAACTTCCATCTAGAGGATTTGCATCCTGATTCAGATTTGAGAAGTAATAATTTCCATCAGCTTCAAGTCATTGGTCCTTCAGTTAAAACTGAGTATACAGGCGGTACTGTTGGTGTGCAGTCAGAGATGACCAGCATCGGTGATACATCTTCTCAAGCTCATAATCATAGCTTTTAATACTTGGGTCTGCAAGGCTAGGCATATTTGCTTTGTTGTCTGGGTAGGCTGCTGTTCTTGTCATCCTGCCCCTGTTAACTTAAAATCTTGAAAGTTGTGCAGTGATTATTCACAGAATCACAGAATGGTTGAGGTTGGAAGGGACCTCTGGAGGTCATCTGATTCCCTCCCCCTGCATAAGCAGGGCCACCTAGAGCCAGTTGCTCAGGACCATGTTGAGAGACCTTTTGAATATCTCCAAGGATGAAGGCTCCACAACCTCCCTGGGCAACCTGGAAGTGCTCAGTGACCCTCACGGTGAAAAAGTGTTTCCAGATGTTCAGAGGGAACGTCCTGTTTCTCAGTGTGTGCCCGTTGCCTCTGGTCCTGTCACTGGGCGCCATTGAGAAGAGCCTGGTTCCATCCTTTTGGCTCTGTCCTCCTTGCAACCTCCTCTCCAGTATTTCACAGAATGACAAGGGTTGGAAGAGACCTTGGGAGCTCATCTAGTACAACCCTCCTGCTAAAGCAGGTTCACCTAGAGCAGGTTGCACAGGACATCATCCAGGCGGGCTTTGAATATCTCCAGAGAAGACGACTCCACAACCCCTTGGGCAGCCTGTTCCAGTGCTCTGTCACCCTCAAGGTAAAGAAGTTCTTTGCATATTCAACTGAAACCTCTTATGCTTCAGTTTGTGCCCATTGCCCCTTGTCCTGGGCACCACTGAGAAGAGTCTGGCTCCGTCCTTGTGACATCCACCCTTAAGATATTTGTACGTGTTGACAAGATCCCCTCTCAGTCTTTTCTTCTTCAGGCTAAACCAGCCCAGCTCTCTCAGCCTTTCCTTGTAGGGGAGATGCTTCACTCCCCTCATCATCTTTGTTGCCCTCCTCTGGACTCTCTCTAGGAATTCCTCATCTTTCTTGAACCAGGGAGCCCAGAACTGGACACAGTACTCCAGGTGGGGTCTCACCA